GTGGTGCTGCGAATGCAGGTGGGATAGCGGACGAGAACGGTACAGCGCGAGCCTCATCCTTGTCGTGCTTCCTAGATTTCTTTTTGTGTTTTTTGTCCTTCCTCTTCCTCCTGCTGCGGGTCACCGCCGTGCCAGTCATGCTACCGTAGAAAGGTAAATCCTCCGCTCCAGTGCCGTGCTGAGCCAGAGAACCATCCCGCATCTCCCAGCCAGTCGAAGACGCTGGCGACCCCGTATCGACCTCCCTCGCCCTCCACCGAGCCTAGCAGACAGAGTAAAGACTGGAGGAGAAACGAGGAGGAGGCAAGGAGGGAGGGATAAGGGTTGAGGGAGACTCCGATGAGAGGGAACGCAGGGGTTGGAGAGGAAGGGATGACACCAACACAATGTGGGACGGAGGACGCGCTAGTAGCAGGCAAGACCTCGCTACATCGATCTGGCCTACCTCCTGGCTCGTGGCAAAAGTAAGACGGGCAATGTCGGGTGTGAATGTTGTCGGGTGACGGGGTAGGGCGGGCAAGGGGGCGATCAGAGTTAAAGTGGTCCATCGGTCCCCCCCAGGCTCACTCGAGGAAGACGCGACCCCCGAAATTGTGGATCAGTGCCGGATGGGAGGGGGTGCCGAAAGACTCACCCTCGATCGAGGTCGAGTGGTTCAGCGGTGAGTCGTTCGGTCCCTCCTCCCTCCTGCACTGCAAACTCCAAGATCCAACATAAACTGAACTTGGATACGGCAGGTCCGCGTCGTGTCGACTCGCTGCGACCCCGCCGCGAGCGTTCAAGGTTGAGCGACGCAAGTGGCCCAGAATCGGCCATTTTGGGGCGATCTGGCGATCGGGAAGCCGCCGATCGTTCAAGGTTGAACGATCCAACGCGGTGTCAGAAACCATAGTCGAGGTCGTCACGACACGGACCTGCCGTACACGATCACTGACACAGGTGACGCACATGCGAAGCCAAAGAGGCGCGTGCACATTCGAAGATGCGTCCTACCCCACCCCATGGCTTGTGGAACGCTCTCCTGCGCTCTCTGGATGTACATCCGCAAGGTGTGCTCGGGCAACTCCTCGATGTCGTCGTCCTCGTCGCAGCCCTGTCAGCCCGATCGCATGCTGCAGATCTCTCGATTGCCCTTCTCCTGTTCCTATTCCCTCCTCCCCATGCGTTTGTGCTTCTCCTCCTCCAGAATCCTCCTCGAGTTAGTTCCCTCCCTCATCTCTGCTAGAGGCCCCTCTCGTTCTCATACATCATACAAGAACGAAGCGCTCAGGGTCAAAGGCTTGATTCACATGCCCAACCATATGTACATGCAATCAGCGGCCCTCTCATACTACACGTGGGAGGGCGGATTTGGACCAGCTGGGAGCGAGGGGGATGGGGATGCGAGCGAGGAGCACGACGATCACGATGAGATTCAACATCAGGGCACGCCATCGGGATCACTGATGCTGCACAAAGCATAGGCACGTCTTGCAGTGAGACGTGAGGGGAGGAGGAGATAGATAGATCGAGAGGTGAGGGGCAACGAGAGAGAGAGGGGAGAGAGAGAGAGAGAGAGGACGCGATCGTAAGATCGCGCCCTCTCTCTCGAGTGGAGAGCCGCCTCATCAGCTAGCTGGGTGTCCATCGCCTCCTCCTGGATCTTGCGGCGCTGCCAGTGCGCATACATGATGCGGAGGGACCTGCACAGCAAGAACCTGGCGCCAGGGAAACCATGACTATGCACCGCAACTAGTTCATGGCGTCACATTTATGCTACACACTCCGCCGCACGTCCAACCACAATACCAACACTAAGAATCAAGATATCACATGCTGCACAGACACCGTGTCGACTCGCGTGCCTCCCTTAATTAGCCTCCTCCCTCTCTGTCCGTGAAGCCTCCCTCGAGATCCCTCACGATTAGCCCCTCCTCTCCGCCCTCCCTGATCATATCTTCTCCTCCCTCCATGCGTCTCAGCTGGTGCCGCCCCCCCCCCCCCACCCCTCCCGCAACCTCTCGCTCCTCCCTCCTTGCCTCCCGCCTCCTTTACCAGTCTCCCGCCCTCCCTTGACCTCAGTTCCCCCGTGCATCTAACAGGCACATTTTTCTGACATCATTCCTCCTGCAATCTGCCTCCTGGCTTGCACGACGGTCTTCGCTGGCTTCCTGCCCTTCATCACTCTGTAGCCGTTCTCGAACTTCTCACCGTACAGCTTGTCCCAGACTGCCTGGGGCGCAGGGGGGCCCTCTAAAAAAAAACACTGCTGATAGCAATGGCACGTTTCAAGCGTGATCTGTTCACGCACACGCAAGCACCTCAAACTCAACATGATGATACGTGATGGGACATGCTCCCACTGCCCTCTCTCCTCTCTCCTTCGCTGCCATTGCCCTTCCCTCCTCTCCCCTGTCCTCCCCCTCGTACCTCCACTCACACCCTCTTATACACCAAGGCGTAGCCTCCCTCCTCATTGCCTTCGCTATTCGCTCCCTGTCCCCAGCAACGCGATCCAGCCTCCATGTTCTTCTGTGAGATGCGCATGCCCTCCATCTCGAGCGTCATCGCGATGAGCGTGCTCTCGAATACCTCCCCTGCTCCTCGCTTCATGCACGTTCCCCCGTACCCTCGCTCACCGCATCCGAGTCTTTCCTTACCCGTACCCTTGCTGCTCTCCGTCTTTCCTTTGCTCGAGTGGGCGACAAGATCTTGTCGCTCCCTGTCCCCGCTTACCTCCCTCCCCTTACCCTCGGCCCTCTCGGTCCAACCTCACCTCCAGGCCTGCACCCTGCTATAGCAGCAGGTCCCTCGACCCCTCCATGCATCCCTCCACGCCCTCGCTCCCCTTCCTAACCCTGCACTTCCCTCCATACCCTCGAGTCTTCGCATCTTATCCTGACCCCCCCCGTCCCACCTGCCAGGATTCTGGCTGAGGCCGACAGGAAGAGGACTTCGCTGGATAGCTCGACCAGTCGGGGATGTCGTCATAGCCTACGGCCGCGGAGGGCGGTCGGGCCCTGAGCCTCATCATCACCCTCGCCCTCAGACTCACCCGCGCCCTCGATCCACATCCTCATCCTCGCCCTCGATCAGCTTCACTCGCAGCGATGGGGGCGAGGCAGAAGGTCCGCGAGAGTGAGGGTGATGATGAAAACGCCTCCCCCCCTCCCTCCCCTAACCTCCCGTCCCCGAGAGCGAGGGTGATGATGAAGCCCTCGATCCGCTTTACTCGCAGCGACGGGGACGAGGTCAGCGAGAGTGAGGGTGATGATGATGATCATGCTCCTCTATCCTCCCGTCCTCGAGTGCGGTCACATTCCCCTAACCTCGGATCCCCTCCTCTATCCTCCCTCCCCTAACCTCCCGTCCTCGAGTGCGGTCTCATTCCTCCCCTCACCTGTTCCTCAATCTTTATCCGTATCCATTCCCTTCTTCGATTCCCTTCTTACCCTTCCCTCTCCCACCTCCTTCACCCCTCTCTCCTGGCTGGCAACGGCCTGGCAACTTCGGGTGGGTCTCGTCCACCGTGGTTCCGATCGCCTCGCAGGCGGGCGGAGGCAACCGATCGACGACAACAACACGACCGCTAACGGGGCTACACATGACCGCCTGTTGCCCCCCTTCTCCCTGGAAATGTCTTCCCCTCTATGCTCCTCGACGTGCTCGTGATCCTCCTGATCCCCCTCATCCCTCTCGATCTCTACCCCTCCTTCCTCTTCTGTCCCTTCTTTCCTCCCCCCTGCATCCTCTATTCCTCCTTTCCTTTCTCCTTCAATCGAGAACGCTCCCATCACAAATGCGGTGGCCTCTGCCATAATTGCAAGGTCAATGTCCGCCGTCTTCTTGTTCCTGAGCTTTTCCATCGCGGCTGCAGCCTGGCGATGGAAAATCGAGACGAAGACTCGAGGTGGAGAGGGAAGCGGAGGAGAAGGAGAAGGACGAGGGCGAAAACGGCCTCGGCTTCGGCCTTGACCAACGCCATGTGGGAGCGATATCGTCGTACGAACTGGCGTCGCGCCCATCTGCACCATCGCCTCGGGATGGTGTGGCCCTGGGCACCGTCGAGGAATCGATCTGACAAGACCCACGGCTTCGGGACGTCCTGGGGCCCGGAGGAGCAGGAGGAGGAGGATGAGGAGGAAGATCTCCAGGAGCGGCGCTCAGAGGAGGAGCAAGTTTAAGAATGACGGGGTGGGTGGAGGAGGGGGAGATTCGAGGGGGAGGAGGAGGATCTCGAGGAGGAGGAGGAGGAAAAGGCGAGGAAAGAAGGATGGATCGAGGAAGGATGGAGGAGAGAGGATGAGTCCTCGGGGCGCCACTCTGGCACCCCAGCGGCGTCGCACGCCATGTCCACAAGCCGCGGCACCTCCTCGAGCGATGGGTGGGCCATGGCGCCTCGGGACGGCCGAAATTGATGGATCGACCGTGCCGAGCGGTCGTGCCGAGCGGTCGTGCCGAGCGGTCGGCGCGACCGCTCGGCACGACCGTTCGGCATGACCGCGCTGGTGGACATGGCGGTCGGCCGCGTGGTCCCCTCTCCCCCCGCACGGCCTCCAGGGCGGGCGACGCCGCGCGGCCGCGGCCGCGGGCGGCGCGCGCGCGCGTCGCCGCGCGGCGACGCGCGCGAGGGCGCTCCCGCGCGGGCGCGCCCTTGAGCAGGGGCGACGGCAGAGCGCGCCGCGAGCGCGCGAGCAAGGCAGGAGGGTCGAGGTGGAAGAAGGAGGAGGAGGAGGAGAAGAAGACGAAAAAGAAGGATAATCTAGTTTTTTTTTATATAAAGGATAAGCTCTCACGATCGAGTGCGCATTCTGGTGGGTGCCAGCATGGTAAGCCAAGACATCATTGCCTACTACCAAAAAACAAAACATCTTGGAAAAAAAACAAGACATCCAAGAAAAAACAAGACATACAATAAAAAAACAAGACGCGTCGGAATCGAATCTAAAAATCAAGCCAATTCCCAAACAACAAGTCAAACCGTCGTCGTGAAAAAATTGCGACTCTCAGAGGTCTGGGAGTGGCGGACCTCTTGGAGGGCAATCGGCTGGTGCGCATCGGCAAGGATTTCTCTCTGGCGCGCGCCTGTGGATCCGACCCATCGACCTGGGGACCTCCATGACATTCGTCACCGTGGCGACGCGGCGTGGGCGAACGCGAAGGACCAGGGCAGCCAGGCCGGGTGGATCATCATGGCAGGTGACATCCGCATCAGCAGAGGGAGCTGGGGAAATACATCCCCGCTGCCGTGGCGCTCTCACCGGCTGGCGCGCAAGGTGCCGAGCTCCCTGGCGGCGGAGACGCTGGGCGCGGACGAGGGTTTGGCGAACGGCATCTACCTGCGGGCGATGTTCGCGCGGTTGGCTTTCCCCGGGCTCATGGCCTGGACGGCGCCAGAAACCGGGGGGGCCTTCCCTCTCATCGCGGTCGCCGACAGCAAGTGCTTGTACGATCATCTGGACATCATGTCGGCGGGTCCTTGCAAGGACTGGAGGACTGCTCTGGACATTGCGATCTTGCGGGGGAACCTGAAGGACCGTGAGGCGAGAATTCGGTGGTCGACCCTCTCACGAAGGAACGGATGTGCTGACCTGCTGCGAGGAGTCTCGCAGAAAAAGGGGAGTTCGTGGACATCGAGGAAGGTCGAGCGCTCTGTATTCGAGGAGGAACGACAATCGAGGGTTACCCGACGAGGAGCGTTCGGCCGCCTGACACGGCCGAGTGAGACGACTAGCTCCCCTGGATCCGAGCATGCCTGTCCAGTCATCTTGCGCCTAGACCACTGCCCGCTCTCGCACTTACATGTCTAGCCTTGCGCGCTCTGTTTTAGAGTTTCGCATGATGTCTACCCTGTCTGAACCTTTTATAGAGTTGTCGAGAGGGGTGGGCTGCTGGACAAGACTGTGTCTTGGCATCTAAAATTCGGCGGCGTGCGAGAAGCTTCGTGGTTATTCTAGTATAAGCAGGAGATGCCAGACACCCCCAGCCCGAACCCTTCAATAAGCATCTTGGTTCAGGCAGAGGCTTCGGCCCCTTTGATGCATCAGGAAGTGGTGTACACGCCGGTACTGAAAACATTTTGTTCTGAGCAGCTGCCGCTTCCCCGCTTGTTCACTTGAGTTGGGATATGTTTAAGGCTTCGTCCAGAATCCGCCTGTAGGGCTGTAGGGGGACATGCCCGACCTAAAGTTTCATCCCGCAGTTGTCTTTGATTCTTCTACAGATCTGGGGCCCGTTTTCGGGCCCTGGGCCATCAAGCGTTGACCCATGACGAAACTCTTGACGGCGGCCCCGATCAGGGGCCGCCGATTTGCAGAACCAGATCGTCGGCCCATTGACAGGGACAGTGTCCTGCTGCTTGGCAACAAGGTGGGCCAGCACAGGGGCGTGGAACTGGCCCCGTGGCCTACAGTGGAAACCCATGCCAAGAAACACCTTGCTTGCCTCCAGGGTGCCCTGGGTTTTTGGGGGTTTCGATGGTTTTGTTGTGGACAGCGCGATGCTTCCACACCGAAAATCAATGGACGTCCTGGGACTCAGGGTTGGGTTTCTTGTGGAAGGTTTCTTGTGGTAGAGAGGCTACTGTATGCCTCTGTCTGCTCCTGCTCGGGGGCCACGACGGCGCCTGGCAGCGCCGGGAGGAACATTCAACAATTGTCAAACATAGGTGTGTTCTTGTCTCATATTTGGCTACTCTTTGTGGACTATTGTAAAACAGCGCGTTATTTTACTTCAATTCTGCCTGTAGGGGCACATGCCCGACCTAACCCGAGCCATTTGTGTTGCTGTGCCTTGGCCTCGGGCCCGGGGCTGCGAGAGACAGGCGACCGTTGGACCCGCGCTGGTCCGCATCGCGGCCTGTGACTCTGACAATCCATGCCTCCTGGACGGGGTCGGGGTAGATGGGGCAGGAGATTTTGCCGTCTGGCCGATGCATCGGCGAGGCATCAGTGATGCGGTTCGGTGTGGAGCCAGATTTGCGTCACGCCGACGTCGCCGATGCATCGCCGACGTCGACGATGCATCGCCACTGCATCGCCAATGCATCGCCGATGCATCACCAATGCATCGCCGATGCATCGCCGATTCGGTGCAATCCTCCGACCCCATCTACTCGGACCCCATCTTGGAGGCGTCTAGAAAAGCCTGCCGCAAGCTCGGGGTGCCTGCGCGGTTCCCGTGCGGGCGGCTGGTGTTCAGAGGAGGAAAACCGGATGTTGATAGACCTCTTACCCTGACACGTCGATTAGCGAATTGGCCGTTTTCGGTTCGCGAGAGGGCGTCGCGGCCGTCATTTTTGCGGGTCCAGGACCGACGGTTTCGGTCCTAGGCCGTTTTCACTAAAGTGTGGTTTACTGAAGGGAGGTTTGTCCACCGCCGAGAAAAGGTACCGATGCAGCTATATGTGGTCAGTTTTCGCTTATGGGGCCTCCTGGGAGGCCCGCTTCACCACCGCTGGATTCGCTTCGAAACTCTGGTCAGAATGCACCCCGCGAGAGATCTGGGGGAGCAGCGGCATCGTTTCCCCAAGTGTGGCAACCCGGTCAGGGAACAGTTGGGCGACTGGCCGTTTGCGGAGGCCATGGGTTAATGTCCGTCGGGCGTTGCGTACACAGAACAATCCGACGTTTCAAACCCCAAAAATGGAGCGGCGGGATTTGGGTAGTTTTCGGCCTTTGGGGGCCCTCGCCAGGCCTCGGGAGCGTGACTTTCGCTAGAGAATCAACCCCAATCAGTGTTAGTGCTATGGATATTGCGATCGATTGTGAGCTCGGCAGTGAGATCGATAGTGGGATCGATAGTACAGACCATAGTAAGGTCGATCGTGAGATCGATTGTGAAATCGGTTCAGTGAGATCGATAGTGAGATCGGTCCTGAGGTCGCTCGAGCGCTCTGTAGTGACAGCGACTGTGAGATCGATTCTGACATCGATTTCGAAATCGATTGTGAGATCGATCGGGAGGTGGGTAACGAGATCGATCGTGAGGCCGATAGATAAGAAGATCGACCAGGAACCCGGGAAAATGAAACCAGGGAACCCCGCCGCCCACCGAGATCGGCCCAGAACCAGCAATTTATTGGGAACGGGACTGGGTATTTGGGACCCCGGCGGCCTACCGAAATCGGCCCGGAATTTGTGCCAAATCTGCCAAGGACACCAGAGAAAAACCTAATCAGTGGATGGTTTGAAAGTTAGTGGCTTGGATATTGAGATTTTTTGTGAGATCGATAGTGGAAAGTGGAATCGGTAATGAAGACGATTGTAAGGTCAATCGTGAGACCAATAGTGAAGTCGATTCAATGAGATCGATAGCGAGATCGATCGTGAGATCGCCAGTGAGATCGATAGAGAGGTGGGAAATGAGATCGATGGTGAGGCCGATCGATATTAGAGATCGGCCAGGAGACCGGGAACCCCGCCGCGAACCGAAACCGGCCCGTCCGCGGAACCCAGAACCGGGAACCCGGAACCAAGAGCCCGGGAACCTGGCCGCCCACCGAAATCGGCCCGGAACTTTCGCCAAATTCTTCAGTATCCGCTAGGACCCCTTGAGTGCAAGCACTGATTGGGGAATCTCCGCTAGGACCCTTTGAGTGCAAGCACTGATTGGGGAAAGAACGACCCAGGGCAAATGGTCAGGACATCGGGGCCCACGCATCGAAAAATTGGAACGGCCAGATGTCTGGGACTGGAGGAGGGTGAGAAAAGGTACCAATTTCGTAACCTAAAGGGACCCACTGGAGCCCCAAAGGGGCACGACAGGTGCACGTTTCTGCCACCCCCCATGTGTATCCCCCCCCAATATTACAACGCCCAAGTTCGACGTCTCGGTTGTTCTTCTGTCGCCTCTCGTGACCGCTGGCAGACCTTACCGCTTTGCTCCCGCCGCCTCCCGACCAGGGCGAGGGCCTATATAGGGGGGACGCCCCGAACCTGGAGATCCGACGTCGTAATTTTCTTTGCGGGTCCTTGCATAGGTCTGTACCATGTCCCGGGTGACTCGCTTGGCATCCCGAGTTGTTTTCTGATGGCCCCCCAGGCTTGGCAGGGGTCCTGGCCGAAGAATAATAAGGCCTTACGGCTGCATGGTGCCGCCGACCCTGGAGGCCTCGGCCCTCGACACGCTCCTGATACGCCCTGGGAGAGACCCTCGGGGTGGTATTCTAACCAGGGACTACCCCTCGGGACCACCCCCTGGGACGCCCCCCGGGACCCCCCCCCCGGAGCACCCCGCGGGACCCCCCCCCCTCCGCGGGGAAGGGATCAAAGGGAAGGGGCCTCCCTTCGACTCAATGAAAACGTTGCTGAATTTCGCTGTGGATGGGCTCGTGCATTTCGCTTTGGCTGGCGTGCTTGAGGACGAGGGCCCAAGGAAAGGGGGGAACGGCGACGGACTCAGGGGGAGGAGGGGACGTGATGGCGGCGGCGACGCGACGGCGGCAGCGACAGCGATGGCGACGGAGCAGCCCTTGTCACACGCCGACAGGGTCGGCGGATCTTGGGGAGAGAGGAAGGGTATCAATGACACGCCGCCGTGGTACAGTCGGGGTTGATTGGAGGACACGCGAGAGGACACAAGAAGACCCTTCCGAGGGCCACATTGCCATATGAATGTACAAGGCATGGGTCGCGAAACACTTGACACAAGAATACCCTCGATTTGTCAGGGTCGACCTGCTAATCAAGCTCGGCTGTACCGTGAGTGCGTTAACCCGTTGTTTTTGTTCGATTATCGTCGCCCGTCGCGCAGGCGGGAAAGCTCAGGTGCGGCTGCAAGAGGAAGTACGTCCCGCCGGCGAAAGGGGAGCTCTGAGCGGGGCAGGCGCTGTCGGCGACTCCTCCTCTTCCCGCTGCCGCAGCCTGCAGCTGCTTCTGCTTCTCCCGTGCAGCCACGACGCCGAGGTACGGTCGGATCGAGGTATAAGATCGAGGTCAGTTCGGGGAGGGTACCTTGCTGGGGGATGACACCCTCGAATGATCTTACGGTTTGGGGTGTTATGGTCGGCGGAGAGTCTCGT